TAATATTTGACCCCGGATATCTCGGGTCTAAGTCGAATTCCGTTACGACAGGCTATTATATTACTTTTGTTAATACGGAAAACTTCATTCGAATCGGATGAGTAATTACTTTGCAAAATTCGTTTCAACGATATGGTTTGAATTGAAATAAAATGACTTTTATCTTGCGTGAGAAGTCCATGTATAGTTAATCGGGACCCCCTGACCCTAATCTTTCCATATCTTGACTCGTCTTTTATTTACTTTACTGCGTTTTTTAGATTAAGGAAGGCCAGACAGGCGGACTACAGTGGGCATTTATACATCTACAATGTTTTTTTTTTTCAAATTGCAGCCCAACAACAATATATAAACAACAGTTTTAGAAGATTTTGTTATTGCATCATTTAAGTCGAATCCTAGTCAATGAGCGTCTTCGAACATCCTAACTCTAACAAAATGGATTCTACCTGATCTCTGTGGAGATAATTAAATACTACAGTGAAAAAGCAGAATGATCTGTCTCAATAGAAAGACAGACACGAAAACCTTGAAATTCTATCAAAAATTTAAAATTTTTAACAATAAACTGAGTCGCGACGAAACAATGAAATTTTGACAATTGTCTTTTTCTTTGTTCGAATGCGATTGCTTTGAGTATTTTTTGAGTTTTGCTGTAGTTGAAGCGATTATTTTGGGTAAATTTAGTTCCTGATCTTTCTAGATTTAGGTATTTTTTTAACATTGTTAGGCGGAAAATCGAAAATTGCTGCGATGATTTTCCTAGAACGAATATTTCGATACCAGTTGATCAATAGTTGTGTGGCTTCTTGAAAGAAAAAAAATCGAACCTTTCACTTATTTTGGGGAGTGCATTAAATCTTTTCATTATTAATTTTCGTCAATCGAATCGAATTATTAAAGTAAACTGAAATAATTAATTCTGTTATTTTCCGTTATAATTTCGTGTGTGTATATTACATATGCATATACATTATATTCTATATGACATTCGCACTGATATAATTATTCTATTAAATCATAAACTTACATAATTTAATACATTTCTGTGCATAAATTTAAGAAACTTTACATGTTAAACAATCACATATTGTAAAAATTCATACAATATTGTAATATCCCAATTGCTTTTCTATTATAGTGGATTTCAATTTATAATTTCTAGTATCAAGTATAGCCTGAACCCAATTATTTCTCGAAATATATAGGTAAATAAAAGTGGTTTGATAAGAAGAGAATCCGTTGATTTTAATCTTTAAAACAAGTTTTACTGAATTATTCTGCAGGTCATCGCATATACACGCAATATATACACTATCTGGCCAAAAGTATCCAGACACCCAGTAGTACGGACTCGGAGAGTCCTGAGGCATATATTAATATGATGTTGGTCCTCCTTTTGCATCGATGACAGCCTGTGTACGTCTGGGGAGACTTTCCACTAGTTTTTGATAGGTGGCCATTGGAATTGACTTCCAGGCGTCCATCACGGCTGAAGTGAGTGCTGGCAGTGAGGATGGTCGATGTGGCTGACTACGTAATCTGCGTCCTAATTTGTCCCAAAGGTGTTCTATGGGATTTAGATTGGGGCTCTGAGAAGGCCAGTCCAGTTTTTGAACACCCATTTCATCAAACCATACCTGCACAAGTCTCGATGTGTGAATGGAGCTGTTATCCTGCTGGAAAAGAAATGGGCCTTCCCCGAAATATTTCCATAGAGTTGGGAGAGCAGCATTGTCCAGAATGTCCACATACATCTTAAAGTTCATGTTTCCAACCACAGGAACTAAGGGACCCAGGCCAAACCATGAAAAGCACCCCCACACCATGATGGTGCCACCACGAAACTTTACAGTCGGCACAATACAGTCACGTAAAAAGCGCTCGCCAAGCATCCGCCAAACCCAGACATGTCCATTGGACTGCCAGATTGTAAAGCGAGATTCATCACTCTAAAGAACACTTTTCCACATATCCACAGTCCAATGACGATGAGTTTTGCACTATTGCAATCGACGCTTCGCATTCTGGGGAGTGATGTTCGGCTTGTGAGCGGCTACACGACCATGGAATCCCAGGTTTTTTAACTCTCGACGAACAGTCCTGGTGCTAATACTAATGCCTGATGTCCTTTGGAACTCATGAGTGATTTCAACCAACGAGGACGTGCGACTTTGTTTCACTATCCTTTTCAGGGTTCTACGGCTGCGTTCACTCATTTTCTTCGGCCTGCCACATCGTTTTTTTCCACTTTCACTGCGTTGATGTTTCCACTTCACAATTACATCACTCACAGTGGATTTTGGCTTCTGTACAATGTCTGAAGTTTTATGAATTGATTTCCCACAAAGGTGGCATCCCACTATAATGCCACGATCAAACACATTAAGCTCTTTTGACTTACTCATTGTCTCACAAATGCATAAATATGACCTGACAAAACACTACCAACACTTTCATATGTTTCAGTTACACATCAACGACCATCACCTGCCAGATCCACTTCTTTAGGGGTGTCCGGATACTTTTGGCCAGATAGTGTATATATGCTGTGATATGAGTTATGAAGTAAATTTTGTACAGAGATGTTCTTCCATTTACATTAAACAGTATTCAAGTAAGCTCAATTTAAATTAGTATAAATTTGTTAATTCCTCATGGTAGGGGACCAGAACGGCGCCAAAGTATCTGACGTTTTCGTTTTATCGCAAAGTTCGATAAATTACAGTTTTGTACGGCTGTGTGGAACAAACGAAGACGGTTATAATGTTTATTCCAATAAATGATATAAACGAATTTATTCATTTTCTACAAATAAAAAATTCGTAGAAAATTAACGAAGTGGTTGTTCAAACTTTCCAACCGTAGATTAATCGGAAAATTAAGTAAAATTTTAAGGGAAAAAACTCTTTGGTTCTATCTACTTCCGTTTTCCAGAATTTTTTAAAAATATTTAAAATTTTAACACCATACGCTGGAGATCGCGGGCGTAACTAATAAAGTTAAAAAAAGCGTAAATTGTATTAAGAATTATATTGCATTAGATAGATGAGGATTGAAAGATATTTAAAAACAAAAACATTTTTGCAATGTATCTAACTGAAGTATCATGTTATTTGGCATATATTACAGATATAATATCCCTCGTATATAACACGGTAGCTACGTTCTGAAAAAGTATCGTGTTATGCGAATCCATGCTATACGAAACAATGGACTAATGCAAAATATGGAGTTACGTTCTGGAATTTAGCAAAACTATATCATATATAAATTTCGACTGTTGTCAGTCTGTATGCCTGTCTGCCTGTTCTTTCATAATTTCGAGATAGAAATTAGATACATGAAAGTTGTGACTAGACAAAAATATTTTGGAGCAGGAGGCCACAATGTACTATATACAAACTGCAGATTTGGAATGGATGTCACGTTACTTCGATTCAAATTTCTCTCCAGACGAAGTTAGATGACCATATAAACAGATAGATTCTGTTAAATTTGTTTCTAATAGAAGGCGCTACGTGTAAACCAGCAAATCGAATGGAGATAGAAATTTGGAGATTTACAGAAATCCAATAGATATTATGGGATATGATGTTAAACATTATTTAAGCTAGCATTATATAAACGTAAGTACCGATTATCGTAGCAATTGGTCAAACGGTCTAGGAGTGGATAGCGAACAAACATCCAAACATTTTCATTTATACATATAGATAAAGAATATATTCTTCGTCTCTTCGATTATATTATTTTATGGAAATTTTTTGAATCCAGTTTTCGATCGTACAATTTCTAAGTATGTTATTTTTACACTATTTTTTACTTTATCATTTTTAGTTCAATATCATTATTATTATATTTTGAAGACATTTTTTATTGATTACTTTCAATACATTTAACAGTTTTAGAGATCTTTAGATTTAAACTTTATTTGTCGTTAGATTATATTTTACTTAAAATAAGTGACTGCACCATCATTATTTTATTTCAATTTTACTTTTCCTGATGTCATATAACAAAGGGAAAGTTTAACGATTTGGTCAGAAATGACCATCTCTCAGAGTTTATATTTTTGGACTGAGGACCATGAAAATACAAAAACGTTGCGATTTTCTTTTTTGAATGTATGTATGCTAGTGTGCGTTGAAACAAAAATTTTTCACTTACTTTGACTCTTAATAATTTCGTAGCATAAATTCGAAAAATTCTGATATTTTTTAAAAAGGATTGTGTAGAGAGGAAAATATTTCTTGAAAATTGTAGAGAAATTGAGACCATTGATTCGAGAGATATTAAGGAAAGACTAATTTCGAAAAGATAAATAAACAACAGGAGAATTCTACGTGATAGCTTTTTGATCAAAACAGAATCCGCGACTTGTGTTAGTGGTTTGTTTTATTCAGCCACTTGACGAAATAGAAATACAGATTAAAATTTAATTGTTGTAATTCTACTTTCTTGTTCCGTTTTAATTCTAGTTTCAAAACATTTATAGTTTATAATAACGCTTTTTAAGGTCTTATCATACAGGAAACCCTTGCAGAATACAAGAATGAATTTAGACTTTATTGATATCAATTACAAGACAATGCATTTCGAGTGTGATACCTCTCATCAGCTTTTATTTCCTTATTACTAACTGTATTCACTGTAAACGTTTTTTAGTTTTATTATTTTTAACACAATGAGGTTTTCCTTAAACCTATATAAAAAAACCATTAAAAATCACATCTAAAAAGTAAATTTTTCTTTTCTCATCTATTTATGGTTTACTTCTTTTTATTGAAGCAGGTTGGAGAAAACAATAAGTGTTAAATAATAACACATGTTTTAATACATTGGATTTTATTCCATATTTTTACTTAATTGTTTATGTTATTATCACAATACAGTATAGAAAAGCATTTTAAAAAGCATTAAATTAATTGTGAAATTTAATTAGCAAGCTTTTTTTATCTTTATTTGTAATTTTACAGATCATCCATAAAGATTCAAGTATGAAGATTGATTGCGTAAGAAATGTTTTGATACAAGTTTTCGAAAAACTGGGAGAAAAAGTTGCCAGATATCCTTTATATTTTGTGTTACTTCCTATATTAATTACGGCTTCTGTTTCTTTTGGTATTTCAAAATTGTCGTTAAACGAAAATCTCCAAGAGTTAGTTGTAGCAGATAGAGGAAGGGTCTACTACACCAAATTACTTGTAGAGAAGATGTTTCCATTCAACACTTCTGTACATTTCGATACGTTACGGACCCCTAATCCACCTGAAGCGTTCATAATGTTCATCGTTAAAAAAAATTTTGGCAACATGTTGAATGATAAAGTAACGAAAGAAATTAAAAAATTAAATGATATTCTGAAAAATACTCCCGTAACAGCGAAAGAAGACACAATCAAGTACTCCGATGTTTGTGGAATAGTTCAAGAAAAATGTTTCGAAAATCCAATTTCGAAATTGATTATGAACAACGTAACCGCCAAAAAATGGAAGATTAAATATCCTGTAGATATTGATTTGATGACTTTGTCTTATAATATATATGGAACTAATTTAGGAGGTGTTCACACCGATAAAGATGGGTTCGTAAAAGCAGCACACGCAATAAGATTGCTTTATCCGTTAGATACTAGCAGGAAATGGAAACACCACTGGATGAGTCTATGGCTGAGAGAAATGCGAAAAGAGATCGATAAATTCCATTTCGAACATATTAAAATATTTCAGGATCCATTAAAATCAGTTGAAGATGATGCCAAAGTATTATTTGAAACTTTAAAACCAATGATAGGGGCGGTTGTCGGTTTCATTTCCATCTTCTCAATAATAAGTTGTATGAGTTTAAATTTCGTGAGAAGCAAACCTTGGCTTGGTGTGGCAAGTGTGGGTTCCGCCGGATTGGCAATAGCAACAGCGTTTGGTTTAATGGGGATATGCAAGATACAAGGGTCATATTGGAATATCTCCATTCCGTTTTTTGTCATAGGTAAGTATTACTTTTATCGTCAGCTTAATTAAATAATACGTATATTGTAATTACAGTTTATTTGATATTTAGTGACAGAGATAGACGACGCTTTCGTGTTGATTGCGTGTTGGAGAATGACAGATCCCTCGACAAATGTGGAAAGACGAATGAAAGAAACTTATCGAAAAGCAGGAATTTCCATTACATTGACTTCTCTTACGAATTTTCTTGCATATTGTATTGGAATGACGACCGAGTTTCCTCTCGTGAGAATGTTCTCTTACTATTCTGCTACTTCTATATTTTTCACGTATGCTTACCAGATAACCTTTTTCGGTGGTTGTATGGCATTAAGCGGATATAGAGAAGGGAAAGGACTCAATCCAATTACATTTCGGCATCCAGGTAAGAACAAATCCCATTTAATCTTTCTATCTAGTAGTTTAGCATCTAAAATTTATTATACTATAAATATCATTTTCAAATATGGAGCGTTGTATATTTGAAACGAAAAGTATTAGTACTGTATACATTTAAATGTGTATATGCATTATAGATTTTGTGTATGTTTCTATTTGCGATATACCAATAGTTTTAAACTACCGTATTTTTTGCNTATACATATGTTGTTTTCAAATGATCCAGAAAGATTTAGTCAGGGAAAGTAAAAAATTAATATTTTTTACTAGAAACTTGGCAACTTTTGAATTTTTGCGATAATGATGTTTTCATAATAGATTACATTGGCATTTCTTTATCTCGACTTGTGTGAACTCCCGTTAATCTTTACAACGGAAAAAAAATATATTCACTAATATTACCAATTATTCTGCGTTGAAACTTGATGTCAGAACCTCTAACACATTCTTTTCTAGTTAATAAAAACTTTTATATAAACCCAAAAGGAACATATATTAATATTACAACTTCACGCACGTCTGAAGAAAAAAGGCAGGAAGAGTAGAACAAAAAAATGTAGGGTGAGCTTACAGCAGAAACCAATCAACAGATCATGAAAATGTTAATATTTTTCTTCTTTTTCAACATTCTGGTTATAACTATATTTTAAATTACATGTAATATCTTATGATATTTCAAACAATTACACTTTACATTCATATAGGAGAGACCGGGGCAACTTCGGCATACGGGGCAAGTTTGTCAAGCGCTTTTTTTTAAAAACAAATTAAAAGGAGACTTTGGTTATAGGTTAGGCAGTTGAGTTTTATTGGTGGCTTGTTGAGTGTAGTGTTTTTATTGTTCTCCAACAAGCGTAGTTGAATTATCAAGCAAATTTTCATTTTCGTTCAATTCCATATAA